GGATATAAGAGAAACCCGGATATAAGAGATTTTCTCTGGTCCCAAATTAGAGCCTGTGGTAATGTATATAAAATAGACCCGGATATAAGAGACCCGGATATAAGAGAGATTTTCTCTGGTCCCAAATTAGAGCCTGTGTTAATGTATATAAAAATAGACCAAGCCCGGATATAAGATACTTCTTCTCCGGTGCCGACAACTCTCTTATATCCGGGTTACACTGTATTTCCAACATTTTCAAGATTACTGAGTACTTAAAAAGCGTTCACCCGTCATTTTCTTAAATTATATCTCCGTAGAACAACAATAAAACTGTCAACACGTTCAGAAGCACTTTAAGTGATTTACGTGCGTTGACAAACTTGTAATTCTCTACTACTGCTTTTTTTAAAAATCCATTTCTCTATTATTTGCAACTTAAAGTAAATAATATTTGTTTCAAATCAGACTTCAAATCGGCTAATATTCCTCTAATAAAGTTTCCAAAAAGTATACTTTATTTTTCGAAGATTTACAAAAGAAAATTACATTGCTGACGAAAAATGCGCTAATCAGCTATTTTTAGTAAAAAAAAAAAAAAACGTGAATCGGATTTTAACCAATAGAATTTCTGTTTGAAATACACTCACAGAATATTTTGCATACTGGAAATAAATTTAATCTAGGTATCTTCAATAATTTGCCGAAAAAAACAGTTGATGAAAAAAGGCTCCAAATTTAAGAAAAAAAAAAGAAAAAAAAGAGAACTTTTATTGTTAAAATGCTTAAGAGGAAAGACCAAAGTATTTTTGATTATTTTATTAAATTTTTTTCATCCTTTCTAGCACGTTCGAAATTTTGATTAAATTTTTTTTTTTTTTTTTTTACGTCAGCAGTCGACGTAATATTTACCATTAGTTTTTTACCGCCCTTTTTTTTTCGGGTAAAAAACACATTAATTTGGAAATTCTTGTAAAAATCAAATAATTGTCGGGTTGTAAGGAAACTTCCAAAACTTATTCACAAATGAATCAAATTATTTTAGACAGGTGTTCTTTTTTAAGTCATGGTAAAACTATATATTTTTTTACATCTATTAACACTTGTCGCAGTCGCTGCTGTCCGCTTCTAAACAAATAGGACGACCTTGACTTTCTCATCCCTTTTACTCCCTGAATTGAATAAGCAGTTAATTAGCAATTGATATATTTTGAGTGAGAAACATACCATCTGATAAAGGAAATGTTAACCAGCATTTCGACAGTATTTTTTTTTTCGTTTTCTACTCCTAGTAATTGGGTGTAGATTGTACAGGACCGTGTCGGCGATGTTGTTGAGTAGAAGTAGAAGAATACACATGGGTTAAGATTTTCCTGCTAGCCGGTTCAACTACATGAGAAAATTGGACTTTAATTAAGTCCAAAGAAGGTAAAGAAAAAAAAACACAAAACCGACAAATATATATAAACAAATATGTATTAATAACAAGAAAGGTTACAAGTTATATGGACAGTTACATGGACAGAGTGCGTGTGGTAAATATTATATGTGTGTGTTGTGGTGAGTGTTCGTACGTACGTGTATTGTTCTTAGCGTGTTCCCAGCATTTTTGAAACGCTGTATCTGTGAGCGTTCACATCTTCGAAGAGGTAAGGCTGAAAGCCTGAGGAAAAAAAAGAGAGAGGGGCGAAGGGTCAGCGAGTATTTATAGCCAGGAGGAGAGCGACCCCTGGTGAAAGGGTTAAGGAGCCAAGGAGGAGGTAACTCCGACAAGATGAACAAACGTTATGACATAAATTGCAGAGACCCCCCCCGGCATTCAATCTTTTCGACGAAAAACCGATTTTTCGGCCCGGAGCCAGATCTGCGGTGTAGTATCTGCGCTGCTTTTTGATCTCCCCGGTTTCCCGCTGAGGGGTACTCTTCGGCGTGATCCCGTATTCCACGGTTGATCTACCTTGGAAGTTGTATCATCTCAACATTCTCGACCCTGTTTAGGGAGGAGATTTTCCATCTGCGGATCGGAACATCTCCAACAATTCTCCGAATCGTAGAAGCAGACGGCCAGGACGTTTCCAACCTTTGTGTTGGAATATCTCCGACAATCCCCCCGAATCGTCGAAGCAGACGACCAGGTGGCAACTATTTCTGCTCCCGTTTCGCTATTACATTGCTGTGCAGCCACTAACCCATTTCTCATCACCGATACGTTCCTGCCAGGCCTTTGACCAGCTTCCCGTCGTCGACATGTCCAATCTGACCGTCGACACGATCGGCGATTTTTCAAAATTTTTAATTTTCTTTTTTACATCCTATTTCACTAAATATTTTAATTTCATTTTTTAAGTATAATTAATTTGTTTTTTCAGTCAGCGACATCCTGCAACTATTAATTATTTTCTTTTTTTGTTTCAGGTTTAAGGACGGAAACAGTGCAGGCTTTGGACATATCTTTGTTTAAAAAAAGTACCTAAAAAGTCAATAAAATATTAGACTTTTGAAAGTATTTCATTTTTAAAAATTACTATATAGTTAAATAAGCTGGTTCACTTAAAATTCGAAAATATTGTTACTTCTGTCTTTCCGTCTGATAACTTCTCCTCACGTAAGCTGTCGATATACATCGACCTAAACGTCAATTCACACCTCCAAAACAAATCACGGTTAGACATGCTTCTCTTATTTTCAACTAAATTTTTTCTGCTAAAAAATTAAGTAATGTTTCTTTCCACTTACATTGAGAAAACTTTAAATTTTTTAATTTTCCTCAAATTTTGAAAAAGGTATAACTGATTTTTACAGAACTTTTATAAGAATTAACTTTTGTTTACAAATTTCTCAAAAATGGCGGATATCTTCGAGCTTTGGCAATTTTGCTGACTAAAAGAACAATATTTTAACTAAAATTGCAAGGAAGGATTAACAATATAAAAAACAATCAAAAAATAATTTGGTTTTTCCTTTTAAAAATGACATTAACATTTAGACGTTAAAACATTGTTTTCACCAAGTTTAGGGCTTTTTTTTCATCAGGGTATGCTCTTTTTTAGCGATTTAGTAGAGATACCTAATTTAATCATTTAGTTTTCAATTAAAGTAGGTATGTCCAAAAATTCGCAAAAAAAGTATACCCTGATGAAAAAAGCCCCAAACTTGATTAATTTTTTTTTTTGTCTAAATGTTTTTAATTTTAATCCTTTTTCTAGCACAAACGAAATTTTAGCTAAAAATCGTTTTTTTTTTTTTTTGAATCATCAATCATGTCAGCCATTATTGACAGATTTGTAAACAAAAGTGAATTTCTCCGTTTAAAAATCTTGTAAAATTCAATTATACTTTTTTCAAAAGTTATTTTAAGAAGATTAGAAATTTAAAGTATTTAAATTTAATGTAATTTTAGCGAAAAAGTGGACATTCCTAAATTAAAGCTAAAATGAAAGTTTCAAGAAAGTTTTTTTCATTTATAAAAATTCATTTTAAATCTTAGCTATCACGAATTAGCGGAGGTAATTACCCCCCTTTTTTCAGTGTTTGGTTGGAAAATTCTGCAAAAGAAAAAAAATATGCGCAAAAAACTTTAAGTAACCTTAAACAGATTAAAAACTATTTTCCCCCGATAACAATAATAATAAGGACAATAACATCTCCCACGCTCCTTACCTTATTTTTAGCATCTTGATCAAAAAAAAGAAAGAAAGAACAGCAATGTGCGTTGTGTTACGCTAACGTCATGTGAATAAAAACTAAAAAGTATTTTTATCTGAAAAATCAATGCGTGTGAGAGATGGAGGGAGAGAGGGGGTTCAGTTATGAATAAAACTTTTGAAACAACTACTAAATTTCTCATATAAAGCAATAAAAACGTTAAAGGAGAAAAAAAATAAATAGGATATATTCATTTACAAAAAAGAATGCAATGAATGTATTTGTGTAACAACATGAAGCACTCAGAAAAGAACAGAATGTCTGCTTTCACGAAAAAAACATAAAAAGATAAAATTATATCAGAAATAAACTAAAATAATTAAGTAGTGTACACAGAACACTGTGTAGTGTAATAAATTAAAAAAAAAACTGTTTTACAAACTTTTTAAAAGCATCTGGAATCGAATAAACATTTTATTTTTAAAATTTAAAGCACAAAAATATCTGGAATCGAATGAACATAAAAATTATTAACTAAAAGAAACAAAAACTTTTCAAAAAATTATCTGTTTTATAAAATGTGTTTTTTTTTTTTAATGATGCATTGATACCTGGACTATGTTTAAAAAAATGAAATGTGTTTGTTGAGTGAAGTTGATGTATATGCACAGGACCACGTGTTTGTTCTACGTCTGAATTAGGGGAGTCTCCATAGCAATCATCGATGTGGTAGAAGCAGCAGCAGCTGTTACAACTCTTTATTATTATTTATTTAAACAGTGCAAACGCATGGAAAATTCCAGAGAGACTGACGGTATTACCGAAGAAGAGTATGTTTGCTTATTCTGGGGGACTAGATAAGTTTGTCAGTAGAATATTTTGCAGAAAGTCTTCTCGCTGCTGGCCATTTTGATCAGTGACTTTTTTTTTTTTTTACCGTAAATAGATATTTTTCATTCAGTTTCCCTTAGCTTTTCGCTTTTCTTCGCAGTCTGTCGACGCGCACATCGGCATCGCCATTTATTTATTGATGAAACGGCAAGGAAAGATTCTATCTTTTTATTTTAATCACTTCAGAGTTGATTAAAAAAAATAACTGATATAAAAAGTACCAAAGCTTTTTTTCGACGTTTTGGTAATTTGTTAGTTTGTAGAGTAAAAAATACCTTTTACTTTTCTCCATCCATTCAAACTCGTGTTTTAGTTTTCTGAGTCCGTTTTTCCCTTTAATTATGGTTTTCTACTTTAATATTGGACTATGTTCATTTTATATTACTTTGCTCCTGCTTCTAAAACATTTCTTTGATTAAATGAACTGAAATATATATATATAATTTTTTTTTTTTACTTGAATTTAGAAACTACCCACTGCAAAAATGGAAGGAACATTTCTCGGTAATACGGCTTTGAATATAACAGATATTGGTGTTATCATTGCTTATTTTATCTTCATCCTCATCTTTGGAATATACGTGAGTAGCACTTTTTTTATTTTTCATTTTTCTTGCCCGTAATTAGCGTTTTCTTTTTATCGCTGTAAATTAAAAAAAAAAAAAAGTTTTAATTAGTTTTCTGTTTTAAAAACGTCCGGTTTATATTTTTTTTGCCAAAGCAAAACTTAAAAAAAAAATCACTTTTTGTCCTGCTAGGTAGCTCCACAGATTCGCGATACCTCAGGAAATGGTTAAGGATTTAATTTATGGATTTTTAAAAATGAAAAATCTTTTTTGAAGCTTTTATTTTAGTTTTAATTTCAAGCTGATAGATTAAATTTAATTTCCAATAAATAAAACAAAATATGCTGTATTTCAAGAGCAAGACTAACTTTGGAAGGCGTTTTCGTTCTGAAATATCTAAGACTTTTGAATTTAGCGCCATTTTCAGCAACTAAAAAAATAATTCTCTTTATTAAAAAATCTTCCAAAAATAAAACATACTTTTCTGAAATTTTCTTTGAGGAATATTAACTGATTTAAGGTTTAATTAATGATTACTCTGATTTGAAACGAATATTTACTAAATTTAATTTTATTTAAAATATCGCAGAAATGCACTTTTTTGTTAACAGCGGTTGCTGTTTTTCTTCTTTTTTTTTTTTTTTTTTTAGTTTGTTTAACTAACAGGTTGTTTACAGTTCGATGACACATTTTTAATTTTATTTAACATTGTTCTACAGGTGGGGACGGGAGATTAACTGTTAAAAAATAATTGAAGCATCTAACGCGTGCACCCTAAGTACTCAATAATTTTAAAAATTTAAGAAAATATTCTTCATTTTTATTGAATTTTAATAAATGGTGGGTCTATTCTATCGCTCTTATTTTCTGGGAATGTCGTATGGGCGACCGTATTTACAAAAACCAGCACGTTTAAAACAATTAAAAATTGTTTTTAAAATAATCAGGTCGTTAGACTGTGTAGTGTAATAATACTAATAAGCTTTTACAATATATATAAGTAAATATTGTTTTCCTTATTCCCTAAGAGTTACACGACTGAAACTGAATTTTAAGATTTAAAACTTTATAAACTTTTCTAATTAAAACTGTAAAAAAAAAAAATGAAAATAAATAAATCTTCATTTTTCATCGAATTTTTTTTTCTTAGGACAATATTGTACTTGTGTTCAAATAAATAAAAATTGAGGAATTTTTGTTGACTATAAAATTGATTAATGCAATTAACTACATTAATTTTTTTTTTTTTTTTTTTTTTTTTTTGTTACAATGTTAAATTATGAGTACATTTGAAAATTTAGAATTTGGTACAAAGTGATTGATTCTGATTGCTCTGGGAATACAAACTGAATTAGTTTATCATTTTAAATTCTTTCAAATAATTATTTTTATTTTAATTCAATCATTTTTTTTTAGTTTAAACTTTCAGATATTCTCCACAATTTGTTTTCTTCCTAATAAAAAAAATGTATTCATTATTCACTTACTTTATTTTAATTAAGAAATAATTCATAATAAAGCAATTTATTATAAAAGTTATATATACAATTTAAGACGAAACATACCGTCGAATAAACAAAAAAAATTGCGCCACATTTGCTTTTTGTCATTTTTTGAATTTAAAATTTACTTTATTTTCAATTTTACATAGAAACTGAAACTCACTTCTTTCTCCCTTTATTTCTATTTTAAATAAATCATTTTATTATAAAAATAATTGAAAGTAAAAATGCATTAATTTAAATTCTAACAAGTTCCATAAAAAAATTACCTTACCACATTTGAGACCGCTTTTAAGTACTAAAAAATTAATTACCTATTTCGACAAAAAAACTAGATAAATGTTTTTGTTTTTTAGTAAGTAGTTAATAGTTATAAGTATTTTTACTTTGAAAAAACCCCAAAAAACAACCCCATACTGTCCATTAAGTTAAGTGTAAACTAACAACACTAACAATGTTGTACAAAGTACATTTACAGTTACACATGTACACTGTGTATGATTTGTTATTGTTTGCTTTTTCACCATTCAACTATATTTTGTGTAGCGAACTCGTATAATTCGTAGTTTTTATCTACCTATGTAGGTTATTTTTATTTTAAGCTCCGTTTACATATTTCATTACCTTTCTTCCACGAGAAACAAACAACCGAACGAAAAGACTACACGTGCTTTTAATTAAACTGAAAAATCTTTTATGTTGTTGTCGTTGGGGGCGTTGTTAAGTTTCTCTTTCTTTAGTTTTAAGCATTTCAAACGGTTTCTTCATACCAAATATGAATTTGCCCCCTCTTACAATCACTTTCTTTATTTTACCTTTTAAACGGGTTTCATAATTGCGGATCCTCGTGAGGTAATAACATCCCGTCTTATGCACCCAGAAATCGTTTTGGAGTGGTATTCAGGAATCGGAGAGCCGAGTTCGAATTCCAATCGAATCCATGTGCTAAATACTCTTGGGAATTGTATGAACCCTCTTCCCCCAGCTATGGGTAAATAGCAGGACAGACCGGGTTCTATAGCCTTGGATGGCCACTGGTCTACCGTAGAAAGAAATGCCAACCCGCTGCGGGGGAAAAATCTGCCTCGTCAGTTATGTATCACTGAATAAAATATGATTTAAGAATTTTTAAAGCAAATAAGGTACTATCCAAGAATTATTCCATTCCTACTTGATTACTAAAAAAAGAAAGTATCCCCAGAAGTTAAAACAATGTAATTTCTCGTGCTTCTGTTTTTTTATTTTTTTTATTTTTTTTTTTTTTAACCGAAAATATTTTTCTTCATAGAAATTTAAAATGAATTCCTTTTTTTTTCCTTATGGAAAAAAGATGGAACAAATGATATTGAATTTCAGCCACTATATTCATTATTTTTAATTTTTAATCATGTTATTTTGAATTTTTAAAAATTGTATTACTTTTTTTTTTTTTTTTAATCCAAAGGTGAGTCAGAATATGAAGCCGCTACCCCTCCTTTTTTTTTTTTTTTTTTTTTTTTTTTTAAGATAATTTCACTTAAAATCATTTGTTTGAAGCAAAACTTTACCTCTTTTCTGCTTTCAAATTTACGATGCAATTATTTTTTTATTTTTAGTAGTTGTGAAGGAAGTTCTGTAGATTCATTAAAAAAAATCATTGTTTTTAAAAAAAAAAAAATTAAAATATTATTTCAAAACAAACGTTTCGAGTAATTTTTTTTGCGAATAATCATTCGCGATTTTTCACTATCATCAGTTGTTTCTTTGTCCTTTGTTTTGCTTATTTTCTGGTCGGGTCCCATTAAAACGGTTCACATGCGAAAAAATAAAAATTTTGTTAATACATTTCACTTATGGGAGCCTAGAAGATACATTGAGTGGTTGATTTTTAAAAAGTGACGACTGAACTTTAAGCATTCAGTAGTTGACTGGTTCCGATTTTGTAGAGATATGTGCTGCTATTTCATTGGAAATTGATGAAACATTGATTGTAAAAAGAAAAATATAACCACGGCCGAGTGCTTCATTAACTATGAAAATAATTTTTTGTTGATTGATCATCGCTTTTAAAATCAACTACTCAGGATATCGTTTTAGAGGCTCTCATAAAAAAAAATGTATTAAACTTTCATTTTTTGCGCATGCGAATTATGGCCCCTGTTTTATGGACCTGATCCTAGACTTGAATTTTTTTTACCTAGTTTCATAATACGACTAATCTCCATAAACAAGAATTGTTTTATTTAGAAATTGTTTTTAAGACACTTTTTTTTAAAAGTTTAACGTCATAAAATTAATTTAAATTTTAAATTAACAACAGTTGGATTGTTGAAATTATTAATAATTACAAGCACTAGCAATGGTGAAGAAAAAATCATCTCCTCTTGTCTTGTGTGTGTGTCGGTGTTAGTGTTTTACGTGATGTTAAAAACCCAAATTTAAATGAAAAATTCTCAATCAAATTCAAGTTTTACCCGTGTACGATGTTACATTATTTAAATTACAAATAAATAATACACAAGAAGACTAAAACTGCCGATTTTGTTCTCGGCTTCTTCATAAGAAACTAACAGCAAAAGTAAAACTACTCAAAGAAGCAGACGATCTTAAAATTATTGGATAACAACCAAAATACAATGTTCACAGATAAATCTTTATTCTTATAAATGAAAAATTACATGCATATTGTTCCATGTAGTAACGGAAAGTAATGGACAAAAAATAAAAACTGATTTACTTCAGACAACTTAAAAACATCTTTTCTTTTTTTTGAACTTTTTCTTTAAACAAATCTTGTTATAAAAATAAAATCTTTAACAATTTCTTCAAATTCTATTATCTTCAAATTAATTTCTTCTTCTGAAACACTTTTTCTCTTTCTGAGGAGCTGAAAGCGTAAATAGAAAAACACAAAGCCTAACCCAGTCTAGGATTTTAAAATTTTATTTCATGAAGAATATCCTTTAAAATATTTTAAATCTTATTTTAAAGTAAAGAATGTGAATAGGGGCAGAATTCCCCGCATCGAACGACTCTGCCAAACAAAAAGAAACGTTGACTCTCTGAGTCAACAAACAAAAACCAAATACAATTCCCCTTCTAGGGAATTAAATTACTTCTTTTAGCTTCGAAATTCTACCGAAGCTAACAAAATCTTTTCTTCAAAGTTTTTCAAATATAAACAAATTAAAAACCACAAATTATGGATTGGAACAGATATTAAGAAAAAAGGGAAATCTATTTGTACTTTTTTTTTTTTTTTTTTTTTTTTTTAAACTAAAAAAGAACTGAAGATAAAAACATTGTATGGTTGACACTCGGTGTCATGTGTGAAAGTGTAGCGTCAAAAATTGAATTATAACTTCAACAAATAAAACTGAATAAACAGTTATCAAAATAACATTTTATTTTCCCTTTTTAATCGCCAAAGATCCAGTATCCCGATCCGTTTTTGTTTCGTTTACCAGGTTTAAAAAACAAAAAAACATAAAAGAAAGACTAACATTTTCCAGGGAATAGGTTGCCTTTATAAAA